AGTAGAAGGCATCCATGGAAGCTGAGCATTTGATGACCGGCGGTGGCGTCGACCAACAGAGTCTAATGGCGAGGGAGGGGGTAATTGGTCTTTAGGACTGCCTCGGTTCATAGTCCGAGTGTCGATCACAGAGCCGCCGATTTGCCATTGTTTTTCGGACGTAGGCCACTTGGCTCTAACCACGCTAGGATAGTCCCATTTCGATGAATTGGGCCTCGAGGAGTTTGTTAACTCGGCGCTTATATAGGGTGTGTTCCGGATTGGATAATGCCCTGTCATTCTTTGGCGGTTGGGCGTCGATAAATGGGGTTCGATGCTAAGGCGACTCGGGTTTATTTGAAGGAGGGGTGATGCCTGGCCAATGTCAGTTAATGAGTCCAGTTGCGAATACATCTCTGTGCTCCGGTTAAAAGAGTGGCAGTAAGGTCGGCCACTTGATTGAGCGGGTAATTTGCTGCCGATCTTGGCGGTTTGCTGATTTGGATTGGTGGGATCAATGTGTGATTCAACCAAGTTCTCTACATGGTCATCCTCTGATCCTAGCTCGTCCTCGTCTCGGACGTCAACCTTCGATGACATGGCTCTTTTAGCTTGTACTTCTTTTTTTGAGTGAGGCGACATTACAACTGCCTGGCTGGTGGTTTGTTCGCCTTTGGACGTTCCCGACGCCGAGGTACGGTGAAATTTCGATGGCCAGATGGTATGTGGTAAGTGAGGCTTGGAAGGTATTTAGTGGCTGTGCGGGCCAAAGGATGATTGTTTTGTGAAAGCGGAGGTGGCATGTCCGATCCACGAGGAAGGTGATGTCAGCTTAGTGTGTCTGCCAGCGGGTGCTGCACTCGAATGGTGATATGGCAGATCGATTTGGAGCCGATGTGAGTCACTGGTCTCCGGTGAAGCCCGACCGAGGGGTTTGGAGAGTGGGTAGTCAGGCTCTCTTCCTCCAGATCCTTGAGATTGGGCTGGAATCAATTGAGCGTGAAGATGATTGTGTCCGAAGAGCTTGGCCGTTGTCTATTGGGGACTCGTTCTGATCGTTTTTGTATTTGGATAAGGATGGCGGAAATGACAAGGGGGTCATCGTTGTGGGGTAACGGACTCCGGCACAGTCGGTATCAGTGAAGGTGATGGTGTTCGTATCCATTGTTTTTGCCTGTTTGGGGGGGGGGGGGGAGGGAGGTCGGTCCACTCGTCATTACTGGCTTGGTCTGAGCCCTTGTCCTGATTTTTTCTGAGTTCTGCCTTCTGGGCGGAGCGGAATGGCCCCCGCAAGCAAGGCTCCTGAAATGACTCTATTTCCGCCGACGTGGTGGGCGGGGGATTTGCCCGAGGTCGAGGCTTGTTGGTGGGGGGCGTCGTTGGCTTCGTTGGTTGGGGCTGGATTGCGGGGCGGTGTGGGCGTCGGCGATGTTTCCTGGGATGGTCAGTTCTTTGTCGCTGTGGGGGACGGGGGTCTTGAATCGGCTGAGAGGCCCTGGCAGGAGGAAGGTCTCGAATCTGGTCTTGAGGTTAATGCACTCGTCGGTGGTATGGCCCAATGGTCTATGGTGGAAACGGCAGTATTTGGACTGATCTTTCCGGGGTGGTAAAGGGTTTCGGGACGGTAGGGGCCATTGAAAGGGGGTAGTCCCGCTGGATCTAGTTTAGGCGTGATCATAGGGGAGTTCGACGCACGCGCGGTGCTACGCTCGAACCGGACGGTGCCCAGGTCGGATCGGAATCGATCGGTCAGCTTCGGGGGGGGTGTCATTATACTGGGGCGGTTCACTGGGCTCGGAGTCTTCTCTTCTCTCTGGGAAGTCGGATTTTAAGGGGTCGGCTCGTTGTCGAGTCGCCAGGGAACTTCAGCATTCAATGTATTTCTGAGCTTTGGACAATAGGGTTGGCCATGGTGGTTCTGGGGGTTTTGGAGAGGGAGAAGAGGAAAGTCAGACGACCGCAGGCCGGCGATAAAGGGCGGATGAGGATGACCTTGTCGTCAATTTTCCGCTACTTGAAGGCTTGGTAATTGAAACGGGTGACAAAGCTCGCGGAGCGTACTCCCCCTCAGTCTGACGAATGTTAAGGAGCTGGGTGGCCGGGCCGCTCTGACGCTGGTCCAATAAAAGGGCTCAGGAAGGAAGTCACACTGAGGTGTTGAAAGGCGGAGCGGATTCCGCCGGTAGCTGGCTAAACCAGCCAGCCGAGCTTGATCCCCTTTAGTGTCACTGGAAAAGCTCGGCGACATATGATCTCATGGAAAGGCATGGAGGACCATGAGGGTGCGGTAGGTTTCCAGATGATCGACGCTGGGTCCCGTCGTGCCATCGAAGGAGTCAATGTAGGACATCTTGAAATTTGGCAGGCAAATGGTTTGTCGCGGATGGAGGCAACAAAAGGTGAGTTGGCGTGGCCCGAGGGCTGTGCTGGATGTTCTGCATGACCCTTGTAGTTGGAGTTTCAATAGCTCGGATTTAGCGTCCCAGAGGGGGGTGGGTGTCGGCAATGGGTTCGGCCAATGAGGCCTGGACGCTTGCCTAGCTTCCCCCTTCAGGGGTCAGTACTTGCAACCCTGGCGGCGTGGAGTGGTATGTTTTTCATGTTGGGGAGGGAAGGTGCCTGCGAACGCTTCTGGGTTAGGATGAGGGGGGCTGTTGGAGCGAAAGAATGGCCTGGGGCCTGTTCTTGTTGGTGGAACGTTGGGAGGTGGAAACGGGGGGGTTTCTTTTTGGGTAACGCATTGATCAGGGCGGTTTTGCTCGGCCATGCGGTTAATGCTGTTGGTGAGCTCGATGATGTATTGTGGTGGATTGAATTGGGTGGGAGGTCTGTTTGGTGGCCGGAGGCGTTGTGGTGAGAAGCCATGGCTAGCGTGAACCATACACTAGATGGGCAAAAAGGACGAGGTGATAGTGAGAAAGGGAGGGTCCGCGGTAGTGACCACAACACCGCGCGATAAACCAGTACTTCCCACAGACGGCGCCAAACTGATGATGTATCGATTCCCGGGTGGATGGGTCGGACCGGCCCAGGTTCTCCAGACTCCGGCTCAGGAAGGCTGGCTCCGTCAGATGACCTGCAAGCAAGTTCAGGGGGGGAACGGGGTAGTCCCCCAGTGAACCCTCCGGTGCAAGAATTAGAAGAGCAGAGTATGAAAAGACTGTATATCGAGAGATCAAGAGAGAGAGAGCAACTTAACTTCCTTTTTTCCTCTTATCCTTGCTTATATCCTTTTGTCATCATTTTTCCTGTCTCTTGTGGCGTGCTTTTTCCGCCGAAAGCCTGTGCCATGGCTCATCTTGTTTAGGGTGATGGAGGCTCTGTTCCGGCGGGAAGTGCTGTTGCAATAAATGCTGTGATGGGTTGCATTAATGGTGATGTGTTGTGATAATAACTCTGCAGATCTTTGTCTGCTGATGTGGCCCGTGTCCCACCTGCCGTGTGCCTAAATGCCGTTGGCCCTTCATGTCTAGGTGGCCTCCAGCTGTTCTGGGCCTTGTCAACCGGGTTGTGCCATTGGCCCCAAGCAATGGGTTCGGGGTGGTTTACCGTGGGCCGTGTGCCTTGTGGGCCTATCCATGTCATATAGGAAGCGGAAAAAAGAAGAAGAAGAAGAAGACATACAAGGAGTGATGATTTAGCATAAATAAAAATTTGTATGTACTAAAATAATATGAATAGTTTCACAATGTATGTAAAAAAATGTTGAAATGAAAGGACTTTCAATCTATCAAGTAATTGCTGAATTTCAATTTCAAATATTATTTTCAGAATAGATTGCGCAACTTAAAATTGCATTTTCAAAATGCAAGATTGTGTTGAAATTGTATATTGAAAATGTAATTTTAACTTGCCACGTCTGCGCAACAAAAGCCATATCAATTTGAAATCGCATTCTCAACATGCGATTTTAACTTACCACATCAGCGCGTCATAATCCATGTCGACCTAAAATTGTATTTTGAAAATGCGATTTCAAGTTGAAATTGCATGTTCAAAATGCGATTTCAAAAGTGGGTTAGTTTTCCAAATAGTTTGAAAAGTGGGCAAATTCTCTAAAAGTGTGTTTGGTTTGAGTTTTTTGGATTAAGTTTTATGAAAATCAAGTTTTTTGGCTTTCATGTTTTTTTATTTTTAGTGAATATTTTTAAAATTTTAAACATTTTTTTTTTTACTTTTTTAGATGCACCTTAGTTAGATGTATCTAAAAAATAAAAAATTTGTGAAAACATATTTTAAAAAATTAATATATACATAAAAGTACAAAAAATGTACTGTAGTGGATTTTTAAAAGGTTTTTTTCACAAATTTTTTATTTTTTAGGTATATTTATGTTAGATATGTTTAAAAATTAAAAAATTGCTTAAAATATTAATAAAATTTAGTAAAAACAAAAAAATACGGAAAACAAAAAATAAAATTTCTGAAAAGTGTTTTTAGAAACTCTAACCAAGCATTATTTTTTTAGAATATTTTTTTAAAAAAATCCATCAAACATGACCCCTCTTTATTTATTTATTTATTTTTCAAAAAGAAAAAAAATAATAAATAGTATGTTTAGTGAGTTGTTGGAAAAGAGAACATGAGTTGTCAGAGGAGAAGAGGGCGGCTAGAGCGAGAGGGGTGGCTCAAGAGAAGAAGGATGGTTGGAGGGAGGGGTGGTGGAGGAAGGTGGCGAAATGAAAATTTGTTTTCAAAACAAGTGAAAAAATAAATAAATAAATAAAATTGTTTCTTCAAATTTTGAAAATTTTAACAAACCATTTGTTTTACAAATGAAAATTGCTACTAAACACGTTTTTGTTTTTGTTTTTGTCTTGTCTTGTCTTGTTTGTTTTTTTTTTTTTTTTAAGTTTTTAAAATTGTACCAACTGTCATGATCCAAACCTACTCCTAAAAGTTTAGGCCATGACCAGCTTGTACTTAAGCCTCAAAACAAAAATTCAAAAGAATCAAATCATATCAGGGCCTAAAGCAGAAGTAAAATCATATAACAGAACGTCCACTGAGTAGTGCTTATATGCCAGAATTCTAACCTATCATATCGTATATAGAAAGTTCAAGTACATAGGCCATATATACACAAATCCAAGTCATGTAGTTATATATACAAAGAGTTAACAATCCAGCATTTTTATAATAACAAAGTGTAGCCACCAAAAGCTTAACAAATTGGTGGCATTAAAGGAACTTCTCAAAAAGACAAAAAGGCTCCAACGTTGGACGCTTAACAAAACAGGTTCATCAAAAGTCCTGAAGCTGACCTAGGGCTGGCCTCAAAGCTGACCACCTACAAAACATACGTAAGTACAGAGTGAGCAAGGCTCAATGAATAATAATAATGTAAGGAGGCATATAAATGAGCATGTGTTTTGAAGAATCTTTATATAACATATGCATGACTTATGCACAATCATATTCTAGACCGGCCTCGGATCCACATAAGACGAAACGGCCTCAGGCCCAACATATAACTACAGAACGGCTTCGGGCCCAACATATTAACAGAACGGACTCAGGCCCCAACATATTAACAGAACGGCCTCAGGCCCAATCATAGTAACAGAACGACATTGGGTCCAATTATAGTAACAAAATGGCCTTAGGCCTAATTATAGTAACAGAATGGCCTTAGGCCCAATTATATGTCGTTGCTGGCAAATGCTCAATCACTTTAATCAAAACACAAGTTGTGCCAAACATATCATTCGTGATCGAAAATAGATAAATCACAACATACAACATATCGTTACGCTATTAGTACTCACAGTGATCCGGTTGTGCATTGGTCCATTCCGGCGAGTGACCTACACATCACACACATAAAGTGATAAGCAATATATTCCTTTCTTAACTTGTCTTAACTTTCAAATTATTATTGTTTCGTTTCGTTCACTTTCTATTTATCTTTAAGCATTTTGGAGAGATTAAATATACACATTAACAAATTTAGAGGGTCGAAAAGGGTAGCAGAAATCAACATAATTTTTTGCCATTTTCAGCACGTACGGAAGTCTCTCACTGCACGTGCGGCCACATGCATGCTTTTATTTCAGAATGTTAACCATGCCTCCCTTGTTTTCCGCACATGCGGCTGTGCATTCCACACGTGCGGTGATGAGCCCTGCACGTGCGGTTCTGGACTTTGCTGTGCAGTCCGAAAATTCAATAATTTCAAGCTTTCAAAAGACATTCATAAGGCCTAAATCAAGCAAATTCACTTCAAAAACATAACATATGAGCACAATAAACATGAAATTCAAACCCAATTAGATCATAACTTATTTTAATTGGGCACAAACAACTCTTTCCATGATTCCTTCATTTCGTCATTTTTTTCATATATATACATATATACATGAGCTCAAAGTATGCAAAAGGGTAAGCTTAGGAACAATTCCTCACAATTCAACTCAAATCATACTAAAAATAAAGGAATAAACTCTTTAATCAAACAAAACAAAGAAATGCATGATCATTTTATGAGATTTGTTCAATCAACATAATAGTTCATAAGCCCTAACTTCCATGGATGACAAATATTCATCTCAAGGCTTGATTCAAAGCATATGCCTATAATAAACCATTTTCCAACATGCGGCTGTGCATCCCGCACGTGTGGCGATGAGCCCTGCACGTGCGGTTCTGGACTCTGCTGTGCAGTCCGAAAATTCAATAATTTCAAGCTTTCAAAAGACATTCATAAGGCCCAAATCAAGCAAATTCACTTCAAAAACATAACATATAAGCACAATAAACATGAAATTCAAACCCAATTAGATCATAACTTATTTTAATTGGGCACAAACAACTCTTTCCATGATTCCTTCATTTCGTCATTTTTTTCATATATATACATATATACATGAGCTCAAAGTATGCAAAAGGGTAAGCTTAGGAACAATTCCTCACAATTCAACTCAAATCATACTAAAAATAAAGGAATAAACTCTTTAATCAAACAAAACAAAGAAATGCATGATCATTTTATGAGATTTGTTCAATCAACATAATAGTTCATAAGCCCTAACTTCCATGGATGACAAATATTCATCTCAAGGCTTGATTCAAAGCAATTAAAGAAGGATTAAGAGTCTATTAGTTAATTTACACATACCTTTAGTTGTATTCCTTGAAGCCCCTAGCAAGTTCTTCAATCTCAAGCTCCTATGTTGAATTCTCCTTCCTCTCTCTCCCTCTCTCTCCTTTTCTTTTCTTTCCTTCTCTAGAGCACCTAGGAGATATTTTTGTTTTGGTGTTGAGTCTAAGTCTTCTAAGGCTTAAGTATATATCTATATTAACCAAAGCCAAGCTTATTTGAGCCTAAGTTGGGCTTCATTAAGAGTTTTACCAAATAATTCTAATTAATTCATTATGAATCAAATTTTTACAAAATTTCATATTATGTTCTAAAAATCATGTTAATCATAACTGTAAAGTCAATTTCGATTTATTGCGCCTCTAAGGTTTTCAATTTTCAGTCCAAAGATCACAATTTCAGCAAACTTCTCATAACCGACAGGTACAAAGTTATAAACATGTAATTCACATATCAAAACATAGAATTTTACATCAAACTCATAAACACACATATAACCATGCACATAATGAAGGAAGTAAAGCATATTAAAACATATGAGAGGGTCGGGTTATTATACTCTTCCCCCTCTTTAAGAAGTTTGGTCCCTCAAATTTGTTTTATCTCAAGTTGAAAATAACTCAAGATACTATTGTTTCATGGCATAAGGGGGGAAGTGTGGCTGGAGGGAGTGGTGGAGGGACAAAGAGGCCGAATAAAAACTTATTTCAAAACAAGTGGGAAAAAAAAATTGTTTGTTCAAATTTTGAAAATTTTAAAACCTTTGCCATTTGTTTTGCAAATGAAAATTGCTACTAAACATTTTTTGCTTCTAGTTTTGTTTCATATTGTCTCAATATAATCCAATTGATAACATTATTTTAAAATTTAGACGAAATCAAATAACAAAATAGTTTATTTATTCAAAGTAGTTGAGAAATTGATGTTCAATTTGAAAAGACTAATTCCTTTTTGAATGAACTATTTTCTCCTTGATTTCTATCAAAATTTTTAACAGGTGTCAACAATTAGACTAAATTGACATAATGTGAAAAATTAAAATATAAAATTAGTATAATTGAAACTATAGGAACTCAATTAACACTGAGAGAAATTACAAGGAACACTGATCTAATTGGCCTTTTTACAATTTTTGGAAACAGAAAACAAAAGGTTACCAAACAGCCCCTTAGCTTATCATTTTGAGGGGAAATTTTATTTAAGATACTCCCAAATCACAAATTGTGTGTTTTATATTTTGATGGCCTCTAGTTTTATTTATTTATTGTTGAAAAATATTGATGATGATGTTTTACCTTAGACTTTTAAGTGTCCAAAAACTATTGAAAATAGAGACCATGTGGTCCTCGCCCTAGAGTTATTCTAGTGAAGCTTATGTGTTCACATATGAAATGGAATCATGATGATTAGGTGATGACAACACAAAGCATGTATTATATTTCATAAAATATATTTCAAAATTTTATATTTAAGACATTAAATCCGATTTTTTCCATAATAATTTTGTCGTAATTTGTTATTACTGGTAAATATGTCATTAAAATACATAATGCAACAGTTTCAATTAAATTGAAACCATATACTATAAAATGACATTGTTTTGTTTTAATGTTAAATATAGGTGGTTGAATTATCATAACAAAATTATTAGAGAGAGATTTGAGAATCTTGATTTTAAGACATGTGAAGACAAATGAACAAAACTCAATGTACTTGAAAAATTAGATTAGCTTAACTTTGGTCAAGAATTTAGGTCCCTAGGTGCCCTAATTATTCAAATAATCACCCTAGATTGGTCTAAGTTTTTTAGCACTTTTTTTAAAAAGCCATATTTAACATGCTTCAACAACCCACATTTAAGTTTTCGTTTGACAATTTGGATTGGATTGGATTTGGGGTTATTTTAGTTACAAAAAGATAAAATAAGCTTTTTAACATAATAAAACAAAATGATACATTCAACCTATAATAATTACTTTTTTGCTCTAGACTAAAATAATCAAAAAGTTAAAAAGTCAAAAAGTCAACTCACTTCCCAAACAAACTCTAAATAGGTTAGAGGTAATATATATATATATATCACTACTAGAAAAGTGATTTTTTGCATCTAATTTTTTGCGACTGACTATTTAACGGTCGCAAAAAATCAATATTTGCAACCACAAAAAAATAAATGAATTGAAATATATTTCCCTAGGTGCCCTAATTATTCAAATAATCACCCTAGATTGGTCTAAGTTTTTTAGCACTTTTTTTAAAAAGCCATATTTAACATGCTTCAACAACCTACATTTAAGTCTTCGTTTGACAATTTGGGTTGGATTGGATTTGGGGTTATTTTAGTTACAAAAAGATAAAATAAGCTTTTTAACATAATAAAACAAAATGTTACATTCAACTTATAATAATTATATTCTTTCTTTCACAAAAAGTCAAAAAGTCTATTCTAAATGAGACTTTTTAGCTCCAGACTAAAATAATCAAAAAGTCAAAAAGTCAACTCACTTCCCAAACAAACTCTAAATAGGTTAGAGGTAATATCTATATATATGCACAAAAACAACTTGGAAAAAAGTGATATGATTCTTGAAAAATTCTTGAATCAGTTCAGCTGTTCACAAGTTAACTTCAAATAAATCCTAACTAATAAAAAAAACAGACCACACACACATATATATATATATATATATACACACACACTACGCACAAATTAAAAATGGTATGCATGCACGTTTTCATATAAAGAGTTATGTTCATTTATTACAGTGAAATTTCCTATACTCAATATGAAAATTTTCTAAATTATTAATTTTATTTTTTTATTATTTCTTTATTTATTTATTTTTTGTGTGTGTTAAATTTTAATTATATTGAGCATTTATAAAAAATTTAAATTAAGGTAGAACTCAGTCCTAACTCCAAAAATTTTTAACTGACAAATCTTGATTTAGTTTTGGGTTTAGCTTTAACCCGATTCATACTCACCCATTATGTGGTGTTTTGAGAAGTTAGTAAAAATTGACTTTTTTGCTAAAAAAACCAACATTTTGCTGGCTTTTTTGGGGACATTTTTGTGTAAAAAAACTAAAAAATCAAAAAATTGACTTTTTATCAACTTTCCAAATTGCCCCATAAACAGTGTGTTAAACGAATTGGTCTTAATTACATTACCAAAAAATAAAATAAAATAAAATGAAAAATGGCATCAACCCTAAGATGATTATTGAAACCGATTGAGCTAATGTGGTGGCTATGTTTAATATGATATAACCTAGGTTCTTAGTAAGATGAATACTATTATCGTAGATTTTTCTTTTCTTTTTTTTTTAATTTCTTTGGCTTCGGCATGTTTTATTTATAGAAATTATAACATAGTGGCACATTTTATTGCTAAGTATGTCTTCTTGATTGTCAACTCATTGCATATGGTGGCATATGACTTTCCTCAATGGCTGCAAACAGAGATTTTCCATGATCGTAGGTCTGATAATCATTCATTATCAGGAATTACTGTCTGCTTGATTTAGGATAATGTCATATGTTTTTATAGTGTCATTTTTAACAAGAATAGCTTTGTTTTGTGTAGATTCGTATGTTGGATTTAGTGCTTAAGGCATCACCTCAAGATTCTAAGGAGCCTCAAACCGCTCGCATCCTTCTTTACAAGTTATTCTATGATCAAACTGATCAAGGAATGACTCAGTTCCTTTTAAACCAAATCAAATCATTTGATACTCATAAACAAGCCAAAAGGTTTTGTTCTTGCACTTTAGCACCTTAAAATGTTTATTCTCAATTTGTGATTATGAATTTTGTGTCAAGTAAGTTACTTGCACCTATGGAACTTCATATAATAGAACTTAGTCACAAAAGAAATGTTCATGTATTTCTTGTCGTGTTATATCATGTTTGTGTTCAGTAATTCATGAACCACTTCTTCCCAATGGATGGTTGTTCAACACAACAAATGTGTAACATCACTTGAATAGTTTATCTTGCTCTTTACGGTGTTGGTACATGGCACTTTATTAACTACCAGTTTAGTGTATTTGCTATAGCCTCAAAATAAAATGTTGTGCATATTGCTTATAAGTAGATTATGCAGTCAAACTTAATTGAGAATGAAAATGAATTAAGATAAGACAAATAAGCATTCTTGTCCATTGATCTAGTCAATAAATATCATATTTTATTATGACCTCTTTTCTTTTCATTTTTTAATTTTTTTTTATTTTCTATGAAAGATACATTGGTCTCAATGATGGGTGAAGCTTGACTTTAGTTGTACCTAAGAAATTTAAAAAATAAAAAATAAAGAGGGTGAAATCATGTGCTGACAATTAATATTTAAATATATATATATTTCCTGAAAATTTGCGTGGCAAAATTGAAAGATTGTGGTACATAACAATTTATATCCAATTTAAGTACGTGTGTGTGTGTGCTCGCATGTAGAGTATGTATTGCTTGGGTTGTTTTTATGCCTTGTTTGTTTGCTGAGAAAATCTATTTTTTGCTTTATTTGCACTTTTGGTCTCTATGTATCGCTCTTAATTCCTGCGTTAAGTGATGAATAATATTGATTCTATATATTTGTAATGCATTTGTTGTTATTTTCTTAGCCAACCAGACAATTGAATGAACAGCTCAAAAAAAAAAAAGAAGACAATTGAATGAACATTTTGATGGAATGAACGTTTCATTTCAACATCATTTCAGGGATTCGAAACGTTTATATTGTATAAACTGTAAGCTACATTTGTTTGTTTGAGTGTGGAGTTGTTAATAAACATGCCCTGCTTTGATTTGATACTCTGTTCATTCATCTGTCTTGGTAGGTAATACTAGACTTATTGATATCCTACCTACATATTAAGTTTCCTTTTTTTTCTTCTGAATATTTCAAATGTTATTTGACTATTGTCTTGTGTGTTTTTCACATTGTCATTTGGGTCTTTTCGCTTATAATCATGTAATCAGTGAAGTGTATTTTTTTTTTTTTACAATAAGCATTGTCAGCCATTATTGTTTATGTCATTTTGCCAACTGTGCACTTGCTGTCAATTTAATGGGTTTTGTTGTATATTATGCATTTTTTTTTTAATTACAGTGCATTTAGTTTTTAATTTTGCTTTATACATTAGTTTTGAGTATAATTTCTGCATGCTTCTTCCAGGTGATGAAGTAAAAGCTGGGCAGCCTCTTAAGGTCAATCTTGAAGTAGGCAGCGTCATACACATTTCCCAGGTTATAATCAATGCATCTACTATCGTTGAAATTGATTAACTTTCTTCCATTTTTTTTTTGTTCTATAAATTTATAGGATCAATAAAATGTCTACCATTTTTATTTTTGTCTATTTATTTTTGGTTTGAGAAATGTTGGGATGTTGCTATTTTTTCAGGCAGCACTGGGTGAAGGAAAGAAGGGAAAAGGAAATGACATTGTCCCTCTTCAAGTGAATATTAATGGCAAGAAATTAGTTCTAGGATCACTTTCTGCAGGGAAGTTCCCTCAAGTTTCATTTGATTTGGTGTTTAAGAAAGAATTTGAGCTGTCACATGACTGGAAAGATGGGAGTGTCTACTTTTGTGGATATTCGGCAGATAATCAGTTTGAATATCCTTTACATTTGTTCCTAGCTAACACCGGACAAGCCTCTTTCCTTAGGAAGCACAATTAGTACGACTACTGCCAAGATCGGACATGCATACGGTAACTAATATACATATTAACTAATATTTCTGTTCTATCATCCCTTTTTTCAATTGGGATGATTTTTATTTATTTATTTATTTTTTATACATATGAACATTTCTCTGGATTGTTTGCTAAATTTCGTGTAGTTTTTGACCATGGCTGTGTTTGCAAATATAGGAGGATGGATTGCTGACACACTTGTGAGCAAAGGTCTTTCCGTAACAACAGTTCGTAAGGCAAGAACAATATACAATACTGCTCTCTTTTGTGAACATACATGTAATGTGAAAATATTTTCTAAATGGAGAAATCATCTGCATCTTTTTCTAAAATAAAAGTTTATAAACAGCAAAGTAACCTTTATGTTCGACTGTTTCAAGGTCAATGGGAAGTATTGGTAGTAATTCTTCTCTAAACCTTTTAACACTGCAGATAATGCAATCAATTGGATTTTTGGGGCCTGCCTTCTTCCTTACACACCTGAGCCATGTCAAGACACCTGCTTTAGCAGTGCTATGCATGGCATGCAGTCAGGTTTGTTCAATGGATTTCAATTCAATCTCTCAAACGTTAGGAATAGTTGACCTTTCAGCATTTGTATTACAGAAATCTTACATAGTCAGCTTAACAGAACAAGTTATTTAAAGATGAGTAACTGTGAGGGTGATGATGGTAAATACTATCAAATCCCTATCCAAATTCATGATCCAAATACAGCCATAATGAATTCTACTATTTCACAGTACTTATAAGTGCATTAGATTGCTTGTGAATGACAAGAATGACTCTTACAATGATTTAAAACAAAAATTCAGTTTTATATTTGGCCAAAATCTTGTAAATATACGTTTTTGTTCTCTTTGCAGGGATCAGATGCATTCTCAGTCTGGCCTCTACTCCAATCACCAAGACATTGGGCCCCGATATGCTGTGAGTTATCTCTATCTCTATCCTACACAAAATCAAATATTGCTTCTCTCGTGATTCCTAGCTATGAATATAATCTTTTTGTAAAGGTTATTTCTCAAAATATGAAGTGATTAAATCCCAGTAAATAGAGTGGAAAAGTAAAAAAGATTTCAAACATCAATCATATTTTTCAGGTGGAAAGTTTCACCATTATTATGATTTAATTTGTGGTTCTTTGAATAGAATTTTCAATGATTATTTGAGAAGAGATCCTTAATTATATCTTTGCTTGTTGCCCATATCAAACTTGTTTCTTCCTTGCATATCTTGGCAAGAAAATTTACAAAAACAAATTTTAAAATGTTTCAGGAGAAATTCTTAGCTATAATTTTCAATTTTAGTATATTATTATACTTTAGCATTGTTTATTATTCTTTAAGCATTGTATACGTTAGTTGTTATTATTATGTTTGTTAGCTTTATGCTTTCGGCTAGCTTTAGCCTTTCGGTGCCTCGCGTCTCGCATGCCGCGCATCCAATGACAGGCTATAAATGAGAGCTAAGCTCCCTTTGTAAAACACAACATACATCAATATATACATACAATTTATTCTCTCTCTATCAATTTATCTTACAATTACTACGAGAACCGCGATTGTGATTAGAAATTGAGTTTGAAACTAAAAAGTCAGTAGCGATAGTGGTCAAGAAGAAAAGAAGCAATTGGCACTCGTGGGGGGCCAACTAGTATATATAAACAAAGCAAATCCATCCCAAACTAACACTAAATTTCTAATTATTTATTATAAATCCACAATATACACATTGTATATACATATGCGTATCAAATATATAAATGGAGCAAATCATGTTGATGCGTTTCTTTTGTTTTGGCAAGAGATGGAATGAATTCCAAAGTCTTGCATTGAAATATCTTTGATTTTGTATGCTTTGTATTTTATTACTACAAGAACCGCGATTGTGGTTAGAAATTGAGTTTGAAACTGAAAAGGCAGTAGCGACGGTGGTCAAGAAGGAAAGAAGGGTTGGAGGTGTCAATTGGATGCCGACGATAGTGGTCGGAGAAGGAAGAAGGGACAGCAGTAGAGCATGAGGAGGAAGATAGGTTGGCTGGAAGATGTGGGGAGAGCGTAGGTGTTAAGGTTATGGTTAGGATTTGTGTTGGTTAAGATGGAGATAGTTGGAGAAGGTGAGGGTAAAAATGTCTTTTTAATTTTCATTTTACTTTAATTTTTTCAGTTGCTTTCAAGGTAATTGAAACTCTAGTTGCAAATCACTGATCTGCCATAAAGAGAAGCCACTGACATAGTTTTATTTTGATTATTTCAAGCTAAACTAACACATTGAAGTGCATTAAATTATCAAGTCGAGTTTGATATATGTTTTTGCAGATTTTGTTGAGGGAATGGTTGATATAATCGAGCGGTTGATGTTGGGAGCCAAAGATTATGTTGCTCTTTTTTTTTTTTTCGAGGACTTGAATTTTTTAGTGCAGTGTATTTAAGGATGGTTAATGAATAATGTCTATTATAAATTTAATTAATTTGTTAATTTTGTTATTTTTCATTTACAAAAAATTGTTTGGTGCTTGTAATTGATTTTTTGTTGTAGCAAACCAATATATGATTTTTTTTTTTAATAAATAATTATTTGCGACAGTAAAACAATGGTCGCTAAAAGTGTTTTTTATTTTTTTATTTTTTTTGCGACGGCAAAATAGCTGTCGCAAAAAGTAGTTTAGGCGGTCGCAAATAATTTGCGACCGTTGCTTTGCCGTCGCAAAAAGTATTTGCCACCCCCACATTTGCGTCCCCCATGTGCGGTCGCATAGGCCGTCGCAAAAAGTCTTTTGCGACTGTATTTTTATTATTTGCGACGGCATGTGGCGGTCGCAAAAGGTGTTTTTTTTAGTAGTGTATATATATATATATGCACAAAAACAACTTGAAAAAAAGTGATTTGATTCTTGAAAAATTCTTGAATCAGTTCAGCTGTTCACCAGTTAACTTCAAATAAATCCTAACTAATAAAAAAAACAGACCACATATATATATATATATATACACACACTACGCACAAATTAAAAATGGTATGCATGCACGTTTTCATATAAAGAGTTATGTTCATTTATTACAGTGAAATTTCATATACTCAATACTCAATATGAAAATTTTCTAAATTATTAATTTTATTTTTTTATTATTTATTTATTTATTTTTTTTTTGTGTGTGTAAAATTTTAATTATATTGAGTATTTATAAAAATTTTAAATTAAGGTAGAACTCAGTCCTAACTCCAAAAATTTTTAACTGACAAATCTTGATTTAGTTTTGGGTTTAGCTTTAACCCCACTCGTACTCACCCATTATGTGGTGTTTTGAGAAGTTAGTAAAAAATTAACTTTTTTGCTAAAAAAGTCAACATTTTGCTGGCTTTTTTTGGGATATTTTTGTGTAAAAAAACTAAAAAGTCAAAAAACTGGTTTTTTTTATCAACTTCCCAAATTGCCCCATAAACAGTGTGTTAAATGAACTGGTCTTAATTACATTACCAAAAAATAAAATAAAATAAAATAAAATGAAAAATGGCATCAACCCTAAGATGATTATTGAAACTGATTGAGCTAATGTGGTGGCTATGTTTAATATGATATAACCTAGGTTCTTAGTAAGATGAATACTATTATCGTAGATTTTTCTTTTCTTTTTTTTTTAATTTCTTTGGCTTCGGCATGTTTTATTTATAGAAATTATAACATAGTGGCACATTTTATTGCTAAGTATGTCTTCTTGATTGTCAACTCGTTGCATATGGTGGCATATGACTTTCCTCAATGGCTGCAAACAGAGATTTTCCATGATGGTAGGTCTGATAATCATTCATTATCAATAGTAATTTTTTGAAAAGTTAAAAAAGAAAAAGAAGAATATTACATATCAAATGACCCAACATGGTTAATTGCTTCCTCACTTGTGGATGATCAACAAATTGATTTTTTATTTTTTATTTTATTTTTATTTTTTAAAGATATGGCCAATCAAAATTGTTATCAGGGTCCAAATGAGGGCCTACTGTCCTAATAAATATCTCAAAGGGCCACAAAACCAAAACGTTTTTTTTGGATATGCATAGGCACCCATGCTTATTATATTATGTGGCATTGTCATCCATAACATGAAAAAAGAAAAAAACGAAAGAAAAAGAAAGAAAAACATAAGAGTTTGTTTTTTTCTTTTAAATCGGATAAAATTAAAAAATCAATATCTTACAAAGAGAGATGAGAAATATCAAATATAACCGCACTCAATACTGACACAGAAACCACTAGCTCAGCCAAATAATGAGTAACTCATTTACCATCTCGACGAACATAGATAACCTTAAAAGACCGAAAAAACTCAATAGACCATATGATGTCCTCAAACACATGTCCAAACGAAGCAAACCCAAAATCACAAGAGTTCTGTTATACGTCACAAACAACATGTAGATAATCATACAAAAATGTTGAACGAAATAAAAAATTAGAAGACTGAAAATGAAACAATGTGGGTCCCAAACAAGAACACCAAGAAAGAAGAGATGTGGCATCCTCATCATCTTGGTCTTCTTCTCTTGATCTAACTTAGCAGACTAATCGTAATCACATTATTGCTCTGATGTGGTTTTGATGGTAATGTTTTAACGTGAAAACACACACTTTCATGGAAAGCATCTACTTTGCTTTTATCTCAAGTACCAGTTTGGATATTTGTTTTCTTGTGTTTTTGGTTTGGTGGATAATATCGATCACTCTATTTGATTTCAGTTTTTAGAATTTACTTTTTAAAAAATTTTACTTTTTCCTTTTTCCTTTTTCATATTTTTTAGTTTTCACTTTTTATGACCTTTTTTTTATAAAAAAATTATGTAAAGAACAGCTGTAAAATAAATTATGGTATAATAATGCTAAAATGAGGTTTAGAATGTGAAAGTGGTATTGTAGAAGATGATACGTGAGGGTCTAAACTTGGTGGGCATGGTGGGTCCGACCCATCAATATATGGATATGGATATGGATATACATGCACATAACATAACCAAAGATAAAAGGAAGATTGGGTCACTCCAACTAGTCCGCCAAAACATGTCTGCAAATATAAGCAAATGGCAAATCCGAGGTCTTAAAGTGACATAAAAAGGAACGTTTAACAATTGACATGAAAATGAAATATTTTATATTATCTTGAAAGCTCATAACAGTGCACAAAGTATTACAAAAAGTAATTCTAACACAACTTCAAATTGGAGCACATTTTAAGGCACC